GAAAAACAGAAGGAAAGAAAAATCTCACATCTGCACATCTATGCTGTAACATTACTCATCTTTGGTTGCCATGGTAATTATGGAGCTAATAATTTTCTACTAAAACTCAACAGACAGTTGTTTTTTACGTTCATTGTTTAACTTAAGTGCAATGGCAACTGATTTTGATAATTAAATGCTCTAAATTCTATATTTACTTTATTTGAGGCAAGAGAAACTGAAAACTTGTTTTCTCGGTTCAGTTTGAAAGTTTTTACTGAGAAAGACGAAACGAAATCGTAAGTTACAGAAGACTGTTGATTTACAGTGGAAACTTCTAAATAACCATGCATCTCTGTGACAAAAGTGTATCTTCAAAACTTGTAAGTTCGACCCTGATGTGCAATGCGACAAAATATTCCGAGGTTGAGAAAAAGACTGGATCGAGTTGGCATCGCAGTGCATTTTAGGGGAGGAAATAGCCGCCATCTTGGAAATATGTTTCTTTGAAACAGCCCCACAATGCACTGCAATGCCACCTTCGCCCAGTTTTTTATTAACTTCGGAATCGCTAATTAAAATCTCAGAGTACTGCAGTCCTTGTTTAATATGTTAAATTGATCAAAGATATGACTGACAGCAAACTCAAACTCGTTTTCTGAACGTAATCTGAAGTCACTTTAAAAAGTCGGTTAAGTTTTCCTGACGGTGCACTGTTTCGATTGGCTTAAGCTGCTGACACACGGTGCAACATTGCATGCAACATTGCACGCAACAGGACTGTTGCAGCGTGTCTACCCCAAACTTGTTGCATGCAACGTTGCCAACAAATCTGAAGTTGAATCGAGCTCTACTCTTGCAACATTGCGCGCAACAAATTTCATCATGTAAACATAGCTGCAACATTACCTGCAACATTTTGAAATTTCCAGCCAATCAGCTTGCACCAAATTTATAACTGCTGACCAAATATCTTAACATAGCAGGCTGACACAAGCGATGTTGCGTGATTTTGTTGCAATGTGTGTCACTCCGATTCAAATTTGTTGCGCGCAATGTTGCGTGCAATGTTGCACCGTGTGTCAGCACCTTTATCCTACAAATATCTTGATCAACAATTTTCCAGTCAAGGGATAAGCTAGATTTTGAGGATTTAAAAAATTCTTTTTTCTAATTTTTTAAATGAATATTTTGGCACTAATCAGTGTCGCGCGGAGACTGGAGACGTATTTGAAAAAGAGAATCGTTTATAAGACTATCAACCAAATGGGAACAAACAATTAGCCAACTAAACAAACAAACAAATAAAACAAACAAAAACCTAAAAGTAAATCAGAAATTTTAAGAAAAAATTAAAATCGAATTAGGCTTGAGATTCAAGTCAGCCATCCAGAACCTAAACTCACTAAACCGGACTTGTCTCGGAAAGAATAATTCCTAACGATACGCGCCTACTTATCGGGACTTTCCGATAGGAATGAGACATATCATTAATATTTTTCCGACTAGAATTTCTGGTTTTAATGGTAAGCACCCCTGGAAATGTGTTAGGGAACCCCCGGGCCTGCGATGATGCAGTGCCATGACTAGCTGGTGATGGATGCCACACATCGGTGGAATTGCTCCTAGTCTTTTCCGTCTATCGAAAGCGGAGTTAGCACCTATCTAATATCATTTTCAAAGGAGGGTTATTGGCTTGAACCTAATCACGCCTCCCAGTCCCCGTCAGATAAAAGGCTGATGCGCCCATCCAATCCACCTCAGGTACATTCTTGTTCTGATACCCCAATTCTAGGGTCGGATCCAGGAAGCATCCAATCTATTTCGTGTATATTCTAATACTGATACGTCCTTCCAATCCAGCTCGTGGAGGAGGAGGAGGAGGAGGAGGAGGAAGAAGAAGAAAAAGAAGAGCCGCCACCAGAGTTCAATGCAAATACATACACCAAGATAATATATCTTTCGCCGTTTTTTAATTCGTTTTAACTCTGTACGTTTAGCCGACATGAACCGACATTCCGTTTAGCTATAATCCTTTCTTATTACTGTAGCAATTTTGGTTTTCCAATGAATCAAAATGTTTCATCTTTATACAAAAAAACTGTTTACAAAAGAAAATCGTAAAAAGAAACTATATATATATAAAACAAATTAAATAAAATGGGTAAAACGTAATATTAAAGGAAGTGAAAAGGCAGGTTTTGAAAAGCATTGTAAAAATAATAGAAAGAAACGAACTGAAATATGTAAGCTATTCAAGAGTGATAAAACAAACCTATAGCAAAAATAGGGCAAAAACACTAATTCGAGAATCCTGTTATCTCTTTCTCTTTATCAAAAACAAGATTCTTTCCTAAAAAATTGTTTGTACAAATATCCATAAGAAGCAAGCAGCCTAGTTAGATAAATTGAACCATACATGATCAGTAATAGGTGATAAAAATTGTAACCAAATCATCTTAAATTGGCTCTTTGATGTAATTGTGTTTATATAGGTAGAATTATAACTTCCTGGTTATCTGAATCATTTCTACGGAAATGATTATGATTGATTACGGAGCTGAAAATTGTTGATTCATAATTACCAAGATGGCGGACCCTTTCTTGCTTCTGCTCAGAAAATCTTTGACTCTTGCCGAAAATACATCGATCACAAAATTAATTCCATAAAAATATTAACATGTTTTGTATTTTTCTTTTTTCATACACTTCTTTATATTTTTATATATTAATGTATCTTAGGAATTAAATATCTGAATAGATTCTTAAATTTCTTGCGGTTAAGTGGTCTGTGTCATTATCAGCACTATTCTTTTCTTGTCTTTATTTCATTATAAATGCCTTTTCTTGTCTATATTCTCTACTTTTTAAGAAAACAACAAATTACACAAAACTAACAGAACGAATAAATTAGTTTAGCGCGTGAATTCAAAGTCACGTGACATAGCCAAGCCTAAAATGCTGTTCGCTCCATATGTGTACGAGATAATAACTGTATGTTAGACAAAAGTGTCTTCTGTATGGATATAATTTCTTATTATTGTATAGTCTTTGTTCTAGTATTTTATTGCCACGGATAAAATCCGAGTATTAGATAAGCTTACCTAGTTAACAGGAGCGCGCAGTCGATAATTTTTATACCAGAGGTGGCTAGATTTAATTAATTAAGGGTATAATTATATTTGAACACATGTTCGCACTAAACCAAAAAATTATCGCGGTATCTGCTGTATCTTTTTGTACTAATACTAAAATTATTCCCATAACCATACAAGAATAAATTAAGTTTCAATCGAGATTTCAAAAGAAAAGGTCTTTTGTCCTGAACAAATAGTCGGTAAATACAATAGTTCCGTATGTACGGAAATAACTAATGATATCTGGACTACTTAAGAAGCGGTTAAACAAGTGGTGAACCATTTTCAACACTGTCACAGAATCAGAGGGGATGCGCTGTCTTGGTATATTACTGTTCTGTGTTCTGGGAACAGGCCTTGCTCATGGTAAGAAAGAGGATCTCCTTAATCTTTATTAATATATAAATTATTGATGTTAGAATAACATTTTCGATTTTCAAATACAATAACCAGGGTTACAATTATTTTTGCAAGTACTCGTTCAATCTGGTCTGGATTTTACGTGAGAAAACCTTGGCTGGTTAACAACTGAAACATTTCTATTTTAAGCTCTTATTTTTTTATCGTTCAATAATATTTTGTAATGTTTCTTTTTTTTAAACCAATGCGAAATTTGTAGAATTTTGTTTCAACATCTTATGATATATTCCTTTTGAAAGTAGCTAGAAAGTTTTACGGAAACAAATTTATCAATAAGATTTTGTGAGCAGCAAATTTCCAAGATAAAGGCGACAAGATAAAAGCTGATATATCTGATTGTGCTGAACGGTTTCATCAGTGGAAACACATATCGCTTTCTATACAAACGCCATGGAATTCACTCATCACCGACGTACTATAATAATATTATTTAAGATGGCGCCTTTTTTCGCCTTATTTCTTACTTTACGAATCATTAACACCTTAGCTGCTTTATACAAACAACTAATAGGTTATTTCAACCAATTTCGTTTGCTTAATTATCACGACTAATTGCGTCCAGGAAGTGGAGAATTTACCAAGTAATTTTACTTAGTTCTTGTTTTCTCAGCTAATCAAAATTTCCGATGGAAATTATAAAGTTTATTTGATTTAATAACGAATGCATAAATTTAAATAATGGTTAATTAGAGCGCAATTGGCCTATGATTCGATGAGGAGGAGTAATAACTAGTTGGATCGTTAGATATAGTATTGGGAACCTTATAGTATTGGGTGCTTACCATGTACTAACTAATCCATTACGTTGGAAATTTATTCGCTAAGGCCAAACAAAAAAATAAGTGTGTTTCCTGTTGCATGAGAAAAAATAATTGTGGTCGGTAGGTCGGTTTTTTTTTTTACTGATACAACAGTGGATGTGAGCTTACTGGGAACCTTGTGGTGCATTTGGGAATGAAAAAAATATAATGGTCGGCAAAAATCGGCAAGCAAATTAGGGTCCGTCGCGCAACAGGAAACACACTTATCTTTTTGTTTGGCCTAATGGTAAAAATAGAGCGAGAAACTTTGGTACTCGCGTCTACCGAAAGAACCGAAAAGAGCGGGAAAATGGATTACTTCAATCGGAAGAGCGAGTTTTCTGGAATTTTCTGATCGGAATAATGCATACCATTTATTTTCCATCCGGAATTTTCAGTTTTTCCGTGTTTATCATTCTGAGCACCCCTGTTATAACGCGAGAAATCTTATGCTAATGCAGGCATTAGATATAATAAATCAGCTGTGAAAACATTCTCCTGAATGCTCTCAAGTCAAGTACCAAAACCTACTATAATGGCGACCATTGGCAAAGAGCCTATTTCTGTAGCTTTTTCTAAATTATGGAACGCTTTATTTTTTACCTTATAACATAAAAACGTGAGAAACTCCGAACATTTTCAGATCTACACTCAAATCTTATTAATTTCTTAAGTAGATTTTCCTTTTCTTTCCTCCCCTCCAGCTCGATATATTAGTTTCTAGATTAGTTTAGCTTTGTAAAGCACCGATACTTTGTGGGGTACTAAAACGTTATTATTATCATTATAACTTTATTGTTCAAATCAAATTTGCAATTTGCAATTACCAATAAACAGTCCGTTCCGTCTTTCTGCTTGGCAAGCTTTTTTTTTACATGGCATTCGATAAGCTAACCTGATATTTTTCAAATGTTAGAAGAGTCTTGAATTTCTAATACGGTGTCATTCCATTACCTTAAATTCTTCGCAAAACTCATAATAAATCAGAAAGATTATCGATTATTGCATGTACAAAGGCCTCCTTTTATTAGTCAAATTATTTTGCCGGCATCGCAAAAAAACAAAAACTTCCTGTGAATATTCATTGACAATTTGTATTAAAATAAACAAATGTTAAGGTTTACTCACCTGTGAAATTTCATAACTTTGACAAACAAATGTGACAATTTCCTGAAAAATAACAAGTTTGTTAGACCATTAAATACACCTTATTACAAAAACGTTGTCGAACAAAAAGTACTTCTTTTATTGTACTGTTATGAAGGGAAGACTGACGTTTTTGATATTACGTTGTTGATAAATTCTAAAACAAATATTTTCACCCATCCAGGGGGCTTCAGAATTAAAATAACTTATCTGTTATTTTATATTTTTATATGACAACGATGCAATTAGGCATAATCTTTCGGATATGAAAATCAAGAGCAACCAATTTTAAGAAAAATCTTAGAACTGGACAACGGCCACCCCCTTTTCCTTTTTGAAAAATTAATCCTCTTTTGCTACATATAATTTTCAATTAAATAAAATGACCAAAAGTTACTTTCAGTTCAGCTATGTATTTTTTTAAATTTTTTGGTCTTGTCAGATATCATTATGATTTTTTAATACCTTTTGACCATGGTATATACCTAAAGTAATTTTTAATTGAGGATTAATAATTTTTAAAAAATTTTATATTTGGATCGCTCTTCCAAAGTTGGAAGAAAGAATGCTAATCACCTCGGTCTGCAAAGGATTGTGGGATTGAATATTAGAAGGAGATCATTCGCCACCTTGGATGCCCAAATCAAGTCCCCCAGTAAATCTATTTTGTGAGTAAATGACGTCATTTACTCAACTCTATTGTTCCATTTCTCTTTTAAATCAAAATTTCTCAACTGCAAGTGGCTCCAAGGCTAAGATTTTCACTCCTCTTTTTTCAATCTGGTTTTTATAATTAAGTCATATTATCCTCAAATACTTCAAACACGTATTACAAGTGTCCCTTCTAAATAATTCTCAGGATGAGAGGTGGTTGATTGAGAAATAAATCTTGCGCAGATGATCATTATACTCTTGTTACAAATGAAAAACCTCTATCTTAGCATAAAGTAATCCATCTTTTCACAGGCCTCGAAGACGATAGCATTACCGACGATATTAAGCTAACGGCTGACGAGGCAAATGGTTTCATGGCGCATCCTAGAGTACGAAGAGGATTGCATCATGAGTGCTATTCTGAGGGATGCTCGTTCGAAGAGGTTCGAGAAGTCCTGGGACGATCACAATACGCGGTAAGTGAGACTTGGGCGTAATACATGCTCGGTATTGTTCACTCTGAGGTTCGCAGTAGGGGGAAGTGAATGTGAAAATGTGAAGATACGTTTCGAAACGATAGAGGAAGCTCGAAAAGGACCATGGACCACGTTAATTTACGGAACTCAAGTTCTGATTGGTTAACCCACGACTGTCCAAATGATGGACTGAGCATGCGCAAGAACGACCATAAATTGATTAAACACGGCGGCCTGCAAATAACAGCATTTTCTAGTTACTGACAAATCACCATCGTTTTTGCTCAACCTGGTCCAAAATGAGGACCTTATTCGTTTGTCAAAAAATAAAATTCTCAAGGGAAAGTCACGTGGTACGCTAATATAGCGTAGAAGATTTGTTTTATAGTCTGTTAGTAATTCTGTTTTTTGTTTTTGTTTTGTAGTATGAGTACTACTACACTTATACCTGTAATAAATTCAAAAGGAATTGCAAAGGTAAATTTCAAGTGATACTGATTTTGTTTAATACGTTTATAACCACTTATCAAGATAATATATAGTTCATTTTTTCTTGCAATTATCTATTAGCCATTCCAAGCTTGAGGGGAAAACTGGGTCGAGTTGGCAGTGCAGTGCATTGTGGGGCTGTTTTAGGGGAAGAAATAGACGCCATCTTGGAAATATGACCCCTAAACAGTCCCACAATGCACTGCAATACCAACTAGAAGCGGTTTTTTTGCTGAATCTCAGAATGGGTACGTTATTTAATAAGTTTAATTTTTTGGATTTTAAGGTTCTTCTTGTTCTGTCCAGTTCATACTATGTTTGTTAGTTCGATTGACTGTTTTTTTGTTTGTTTTGCTTGTTTGCTTTCATGATTTGATGTCAACTATTTTTCGTTCTCTTATATTTGTTTGTTTATTCGTTTCAATGTTTATTTGTTTCTTCGTTCATGTGTTTATTTGTTTATTTGTTTGTTTGTTTGTTCATGTATTCAATTGTTTGTTAATATGGTAATTTAATTTTTCATTAGCTCGTTCTTCGATATCAGTTAAATTATTTGTTCGTTTGGTTTATTTGTTTAAGTTTATTTTTTGTTCTTTTATGTGTTGATGTGTTCGTTCGTTCGGTCGGTCGGTCGGTCGTTCGTTCGTTCG